CTCTCTCTCTCTCTCTCTCTCTCTCTCTCTCTCTCTCTCTCTCTCTCTCTCTCTCTCTCTCCTCCCCCCCATGTATTCTCAACATATTTAGTACAGGGTCTACTGGGTCTCATTACACAGATTGGACTTGTAGTGATCCTCCTGTTTTCAGCATCCCAAGCGCTCAAATTGTGAGTGCCACCATGCCCGGTCTCAATGGCAGTCTCAGGGAGCCCCAAGGGCAGAGCTAGCACAGCACACTGGGGATTGAACGCCAGTGCCTGCAACTGTCAGTGACTACTTTTGAAGCTACTTTTGAAACTACTTTTGAGCTACATTTGAAGAATTAGAGGAATACCTTTTGAATTGTTGAAAAAAACTCTTGGTTTGGAATAGTAAAGAAACATGCAACTATCAAGTTGTACCTAGCCAAAACTTCTGTAGGCACTTTAGTCTGCTGAGCTATCCAGCAGGCCCTCTAGCTCTTTTTCTATTTTCTATTTTTAGATGAAGTTTTGCTGCCCAGGCTCAAAATTGTGATCTTTTTGTCTCAGTCTCCCAAGTTTCGGGGATTCTGATTTATTTGGTACCCTGTGTCAATGTCAAAATTTTCAAATCTGAAAAACTATATCATAAGGAAGATCAAATTTTTACAAGTTATGTGAACACCTAAGGAGAAATACAACTTCTTTTAGTAAATGTTAATGGAAGCAATGTGAATGGACTAGAAACAAAAACAATGGTTGAATTTAGTAGACAACATTTGAAAACAAAATAATAATCTTCAAATGACTATAACCCTGTCTATGAGATATATAAAATTTTGAATCAGGTGGTTAATATAGTATGATGGATTAGACTATAATTGGAATATGCAGATTTTAGCTCCAGCTTATGTTCAGATAAAATCATTCAACCTCTCTGGACTTTACTCATTCATTCATTTATCTTTTACTTACAGTTTTCCAACAAACATTCAGAGGTTTTTTTACTTTTCCTGCTGAGTTTCCTTCCCCCATAAACTGAGTGTCCCTAAGAACACTTAAAGCTGTAAAATACATCATTAGAAAGTAAAAGCTGCCTACAGAGGGATTTCATGGAAAGAAGATTTTTGAGCCACTTTTGAAAAATTAGAACACTTTTTGAAATGTTGAAAAAAAATCTTGGTTTCAGATAGGAAAGAAACATATAAAGCTGTGAAGTTGTACCTAGCCAAAACTTCCACAAGAAGAGCCAGATATTCAGGACATCTGGAACAGCCTAAAGATGGAGCAAGAACAAAAGTGGGGGAGGGGCAAGGAGGTGAAGACAGGAAACCTGCTACAGAGAGTGAACACAGGGCAGGTGTTGGGCCTGGAATAGCCACAATTTCATTTTCATTTGGATTATACTAGATTGGTGAAATGACTGGAGAGTGTTTGCATAGAATAATTTTATTGTTGTATGGAAATAAATCTATAACCAGGTTACTTAATCTTCCAGTATTTCCACCTCACCGTCATATTTGCTGACAGGTGATTATTAAGCATCTAACACTATGTGGAACATTTTTAATAAAATAGTGACATAACATTATTAATTTGATCTTTAAGTTCCAACATGTAAGCTTAGCAATATTTTCCCTTGCTTCCCCCTCTTTTACCAGTTTTCTTCCCTTTGTCTCTGTCTGTCTCTGTCTCTGTCTCTGTCTGTCTCTCTCCCACTCTCCCTCTCTCCCACTCCCCTCTCTTTCTCTTTTTCCTCTTTCTCTCATTTCACTCATTTTTTAACTCCCTGAATTCCCTAAACCCCCTCAGCATGAAAAAACTGAGCTGGATAAGCACCATGAAATAGTACCTATTATTTTAAGTTTGAAAATGCTGGAGAAATGTTAAGTGAAATCCACCATACTCCTCTTACACAAGGCATTTGACCTTTAGATAATGCTAAGCACTTCATCCTCCAATGCTTTTAATTCTAATCCTTGCTGAGACAAAATTCATTGCTTGAATTACAAGAGTGAGTCTCATTAAGGCTAAAAAGCAGTGACCCAGATAGCATAATGGATTAATATGGTGACCTTGCAGTTTTAGAGCTTTACTTTCAAATCTGACTCTCCAGTCCAAATCATTTCAATAGTCAAATAATCAATTGGTTACTACCAGTCCATAAACATTCTGAATCTAGTAGTTTGGACATCATTTTGTTCTGTACTTTCATATAAAAAATTAGACTTGAAAACAATAGTTCCCTTATTAACTTCCCAATCTTTTTAAATGATCAGAATAAAAATAGGGCTTAGTGAACGGTTGTAATCACTAATAATTGTATAATTTATTCAACCTAAATAACATTTACATTTTAAACCTGAAATCATATAAGTATGCAATGAAATACCATACAAATATATATTAAAATATATGTGTACATGTCAGTACAAAAATATTATAAATACAATGAATTGGTATTGAGCAGTGTGATGTTGACTAGGTCCTTATGCATGCCAAGAAGACACCCTGTCACTGAGCTACATTGCTGTCCCCATCTTTAATTACTCTTCAAGGTAATATATGTGGTTAGGGTTATTATACCCAAGTAAAAATAAATGTATGTATAGCTTATTAAGATATACTACAACCTACAGAAGTTTTTTGACAGAAATGTGTTTCAAAAATTTATTTAAGTATTCATTTATTGCAGATGCAAGATATCCGGAGCCCGGAAGGAACTCAGTACAGCTCCCACCCTCAGATGGCAGCCCTGAGACCCCGGGGCCAGCCTGCAGACATCAGGCAGCAGGCAGGGATGATGCAGCATGGCCAGCTGACCACCATCAACCAGTCCCAGTTGAGCGCTCAGCTGGGCCTGAATATGGGAGGAAGCAATGTGCCCCACAACTCCCCATCACCACCTGGGAGTAAGTCTGCAACTCCTTCACCATCTAGCTCAGTACATGAAGATGAAGGCGATGATACCGCTAAGGTATGACTAGGTTATTTTTTTAATCCACATCTGTCACCTTCCTTGGCCTACAGAGTAGAGAGTACAAATTTGTCCTCCAAATGAGAATCACTGATAAAGAACATAAACTTGATTCATGAAGGAAGCATACCATTACAAAGTGAATGTTTGGATAGTTACATTGTAAGTTTCAAATATCCTTTCAATATAGTTGTACTAAGTATAAAAGTTATCTGCATTCATGAAATGTGTGTTTGACATAGTGTAAAGCATAATAAATCCTGTAGGACTCAACTTCCATAATTAAGCCTAACTTATACCTATTCAGAAACATCTGCATGCAGTAGCCCATCAGAGTACAATGAAAACTCTGTGTGTCTATTCATGTGTTGATTGTATGTGTGTGTATCACTATGGTTAGATTAAACCCAAACACATTCACTTTTTATTGAAGAAAAGACTCAGAGATGCGAGATGGTATACTTTTCTAATCCCATATCTCTGTCTGTTAGAGCAGAGCCATTTACTAGCAGTTATTTGGATGGGAAGATGGGCTACAAAATGCAGTTCCTTAAAGCATTAGAGGCAGCTTTTTAAATGACTACATTAAAACCAAGCACACTTTTATCTAAAACATGAAAATAATTATTTTATTGCCTTAATTATCTTTTGGAAACTTTCAAATTCATCCCAGTGAAAAGGGTATTATACCTAGTTACTGAGGAAAAACAAAGTAAGTATTAAATGAATAATATAGGTTTCTCTTCTTTACTTTTTCCATAAAAAGTCACTTGGATCAGCCACTCAGTTTTCTTTGCACCTTTGTGAGAATTTTGTTTGGGGAACATTAAATTGTCAACATGTTGCCAAAGGCAATTCTGCAATTCTGATCTATGTGGTTAATTTCTAACAGCTATGTTAATTTTTAAAGATTTGAATGAATTTTAAAGGTAATTCATACAGCAATTTAGTCTAATGACAGAGATTAAACTATTACATTGGTTGTATCTTCTTATTTTCTGTACTCTTAATGTTCTGACATTTGGAACCTTAATCATGGCAAAATAGGCTGTATCCTCAACATAATTCTAGCCAATTCCTAGAGGGAGCAAATGACCCTCAAGGGAGTCCCTTAATACACAAAGCAACGAACCCAAGGTCTGTAACCTAACCTGTAGGGAGACCTCAATTCAGTATTCTTCCTGCCCTCCATCACCCCAGGGCTCAGTATCCCACAACTAGCAACCCACAGAAACAGTAGAAAGTGTCTAATCAAAATCCTACTTACTGGGCCTACCTTTGCCTCCCCCCATATCCCTGCCTGCAAAACCACCAATGAGTGTTCAGGTTTATACTCTCCTATTTTTCTGGCTCCTTGTTGACTAGGGTGTCCTATATGACCCTGTGTGGCATGCCATGTCTTCTTATCTTGGAGAATGGGAATATGAGCTTCTTCTTTCATGATAGTCATTTCTGTGTTGCTGTCTTCCCAACTCGATTAAAACAAACACCAGGTACGAATTCCAGTAGTGTTCTTCACCCACTTATTGCCCATATCAACTTCTCCATTCTCAGCTTCTCTCTGTGGTCAGTGAGATACCCTCACCAGTAAAATAGAAAGGCAGTAGGTGATTAATAGAGATTATAAAATTAATGTGTCAGGTCATTAAAAGCCTGAATATTAGCTGTCAATTTAGAAGGCAAAATATTTTTCTTTAAAAAATATAGATTATTCTAATTAGCACCTAACAGCTAATGAGTAGGTGGACCTAAATGTGAATATTGAGAGTTCAATTGACCAGGGATATAAATGTTGCATTACATATGGATAATCCAAGTCAATTGTCTAAACAGAGATTATATACACTATTATATAAAGTAAAAGAAATTGATGTTCCGCTGTTAGTAAAGATCAATTTGTGCATCTAGAGAGTATCTTTATCAGTATTATTTGCTGACATTTCAGGAAGCTAAATACAAAATTAACTTCTGACAGTAAATTTTGCACAGGATTGTTCTTAATTACAGTGGGAATTTCCACATTCTTCAACTTGAGTAGAAGAATAAAAACCTGAAATTCAAAGAATTTACATTTACAGATTTTGCCATTTTCTATTAAGCTCTTTTTGTCCATATTTTATAATTCTACTGACATGAATTTTTATGTCATAAGCTTCTAGGATAGTGTGAAACTTTGACGGTGGATTGCCTACCTAATCACTCAATATTTACATCTCAAAATAATTTATTGTCCTTTATTAATGTTGTACAGTATTGTATGGCAGAACTCATATTCTCTAGTGGTAGATGCTTGAATTGTTAATTTGTCAGGCTTAGGGGTACAGTTCTCATGAAAGCACCAAAAGTGAAAAATGAGAGTTTTGCCTACACAAACATTGGCAAGGCCCTATTTACTTTATATGCCATCTCAAGTTCACTCTCTTATTCCAATTCTGTATATTTCCTTCACATTCCTTTCAATTCAGAATTCTTCTTCCCATTAATTCAATTTATATTTATTAAATTACTGAGAAAATCCTCTGATGAAAATGCTCAAGCATTTTACCACATTTAAGGATTTAACTGGAATTTTTCTTTATGTATGAATAGGATTTATGCCGATTGCATTGCAACAGCTCCAGCTAAATGTGAAACAGCGTTAAGTCAAAAAGATTGTTTAAATCATCCCTAACAGGCAAACCCAAAAGCAATATTGAATTCCACACCAGAAAAACAGCTTTTAAAGCATCCTTTTTAAAGCTGTGTGCTCTTTTTAAAAAGAGCAAGTACATCTCGACTCCCATTTATCTAATCGAACAATTAAGTTAAATAAACCCATTTTGACAGAAAGTTATATTATAAATATACCAAGAGAATTAATTATCACCTTATAAACACCATCCCTGGTTTAAATTGCTCTAAAGTTGTGTTGACAGTATTGAGACATAGATCAAAGAAATAACAAACTTAGGCAGCTTGTGGTTAAAGCATGTAATCCAATACTTACAATACCAGATATTTTAAGTGTTTTAAAGTGTCTGTTAAATTACAAGTATATTTTTGACAGTTTTTCCTTTAAGAAAATTATGGGTAAAGAATCACAGTATTCTTTTCCTTTTCCTTTTAGTTTTTCTTTTGAAAATATCTATGTTTCAGATATGTCTGTTATAAATGGCATAGTTAGATTTTTTACATTTAAGTGGGACACTTACCACATTTACATTTATATAAATATTAAATTATCTGAGTTTGTCTATCTCCCTGGGATGCTTTTCCTCTACAACTCTGCTCTTTTATTGTTTCTTATGTTTCTTAATATTGGTCTTATTTGTCTCATTCCATTATTTCTGATGTTAAGATTAGAAATTTCATATTTATTTTACTGTCTTCCTCTGGCACACAACCATGGAAAAATCTAAAATTGATCAGTGTCTTTAAAATACTTTAAGCAATTTCCTTCTAATTTATACTGAGAGCTCTTACAACTATTGATTTAATTGTATTTTCATTGAATTCTATAATTCAATAAACTTCATGAAATACTACTTTTATTATTGTATGTAGTTCTATTTTCCTCCAGATTTATTTGTATTCATATTTCTTTTATATGATAATTGTTTTTCTTTATAGCTGTAAAATGTTTTTATTAGAGCTTTTTGGGAATATGCTTACCTTAAATAATACTTTTGCTGACTCTAGAATCCTAGATTGACAATTATTCTCTTCCTAAAATTTAAAGATGTATTATTTCTTCCAATCCTGATTTTCATTGCTGCTTTTGAGAATTATATTGCCTCCTTGTCTTTTTACAGTAATTGCCTTTTGTCTCTTAATGAGGAAAAGATCTCTTGACTTTGGTGTCCAGCAGCTTCATTGTAATGCATGCAGCTTCTTCACACTTAGCCTGAACTTCATTATCCCTGCCTTTATTTCTGTAAAGTTTTAAGCCATCCTTTTATATACTGCCTCTTCCCTACTCTTGCTTCCTCATTTTATAACTCTGAGATGATCTCAATCTATCCTCCATCACTTTTCTTTCTGTGCTAACTTCACTACTGCTGTATTACATTCTGATTATTATATTTATGTTAACTTAATTTTCATAGTTGACCTCATAGTTTCTCTCCAAAAAGAATTTGTGGTTGCTTCTACCAGATATCTTGGGTCATTACAATCTTGACCCACACTTGACTTGAAGTGTATCAGATCAGCTATGTAGTGCTATAAATACTTACACATACTGGTTTTTGTTGTGACTCACAAGAGACTTTTAAATTTTCTTATTATCAAGATTCAAAAGGGCCAGCCAGATAGCTCAGAAGACTGAAGCACCTGCTTAGGCAGAGTGCAGCAGCCAGGGTTCAACCCGCTGCATGCTGTGCTGGCCCTGCCCCCAGGGTGCACTAAGAATGCGATTGAGACTGGGCAAGGTGCTGCACACCTGTAATCCCAGCACTCTGAAAAACAGGAGAATCACTATGAGTCTGATCTATGTAGTGAGACCCTGGAGATCCTGTAAGACCCTGTACTTAAAAAAAAAAAAAAAAGATTCCAGAGCAATTATTCTAGCAGATTCTGAGTGGATGCTTATAAAGAAAACTATGTTGCTCCACCAATGCCCTTAGAATTCATTTTTTAAATGTCTTGATGTTAGCAGAACTCTTCTATACACATCCAGCTTTAGATGAGCCAGGAGCTTTGGCTTCTGCTACTGCGCCCTTTAGCCCAGTCTCCCAGCTGCAAGATTTAGCTCAGTCTTGCCTAATACCTTCAAGATGAAAGCTAAATTCAGTACCATGCTAACTTCTCTCAGTTCTTTCATTCACCTAGCTTTTATCTTTAATAGTTAGGTTTTTTTAAAAAGTACATTTGCAGTGCATAATGATTATATTCGCCATAGGGAGCTGGTACCTATACATAACACTTTTTACTCCCTGGTTAGTTTGTTGGTGTATGTGCTGTGCCATCTACACAGAAACTACAAAAACTGGTTTCTTCTTAACACAATGTAATAAGTCACT